TCCTTTTTCTCCATTGCGTTTTATTTAGTGTCATATTTTCATATAGTTCTAATATATTAAGATCATTTTTTATACAATAAGCCCAAGTCGTCCTAGGTCTACCTATGTCCTCTTACTTTCTTAACATATGTCGAATCTAAAACATCTGCTCTCCTAATCGGATCATCAGATGGTCGATGCTTAATGCCCCCAAACCATCTAACGACAACGACTTTCTCTAGTTTTGTCCGTCATAGGAGCTACACCAACCCTATCAAGAATATATTTATTTCACATTTTGTCTCTAAGCAGTACAAGACAATCCTTACTTTTCTTTTCTCTTTGTTTGGCTAATTTATACATATATTTTTCACCCTCTTTAATATCTAAGCTATTATAAAAATCATTAAAAGGAGAAATTTTATCATTTAGACTCCCTGCGGGTGAAAAACTTGGTGGTATTAATGTCAATGCCCCCAAAATTTGTTGGAGATAGTGTTAACAGATATTGAAAATGTTTTGAAAATGTGAGAAGACGCATTACTAGTGTAATTTTAAAAATATATGTCAGCTGTCCTGACGGATATCTAACGGCTACTAAGTGAATATGATCCATTGAAGACATCGTTAAGGATTCTCACACACATAAACCCAGTTTTCAAAAAACTTTTCTTAAATTTTGTAATGACTGCTACATGAATAAGACGAATGCAGAAATCTCCTAGCGTTCAAAAATTTTCTAAGCACACAGATCGACTGCTATCAACCCTACTGCCAACCCAACATAGCATAGAGAGAGAGAGAAAGATGTCAAATTTTTTAAATAATTTTTTTTTTCTAATTTATAATATTATGGGTCCCGAGTTATATTATACTTTTGCAATAAAATTTAAAAGAATTTAAGGAGTCATATCAATAAAATTTTATATTTCTTTTAAAAAATGTTATTAATACTTCCATATTAAAACTAAAATAGTCACCCTTTTTAAGCAAAAAAATATTTAAAAAAAAATTAAATTAGTCTTGCATTTTAAGGAAAAGAATGTTTTTTTAAAAAAATTAAATTAATATGTAAATTTCCTTCAAACTAATCATGTTGTAAGATATATATATATATATATATATGTATATATATATATATTGAAAAAAATAAATTAGTGGCATCTTATGTTAACTCTGCTCATTCCTTTCCCGCCAATCCGAAATTTACAATTTGTCGAACAGAGTGACCCTGTTCTGTGCGATTCTTCCTTTCTGTTGAGCTTTTCGTTGATGCCATGTAAAATCTGATCACAAAGTCATTCATAGACCTCCAGGATGTCATGAAAGAGCAAGAGGCCGCTGCTGTTGCGAAAGAAGATGTCGTTGAAATAGAAACTTGGAACCCAGAGGAGAGTCTCCGTCCATTTCTGAATGAGGCCCTGCTGGTGAACGAGGAAATCAGCGCCATTCACGCCCTTCTTAAGGTCGCCAATAACGACAGTAAGTTGGCCCACAAACAAGATCTGAGGCTCGCCCTGCGCGACCGCATCAACAGCCAAATATCGGAAATTCTCAATGCGGCCCGACGCATCTGCAAGCGCCTAGAAGTCATTGACCGCGCTAATGCTGAGAACTGCCACATTTTTGGCTGCGGGGAAAGAACAGCAGTCGATCGGGCCCGTATTTCCGTGACCAATTGGCTACGAAGATGCCCAAAAAGCTGATGATGGATTTCCAGCAATTAAGGCAAAGGATCATGGTGAACTATATGAAAGTGGTGGAGTTCCGTTACTTCACTCTCACAGGACAATTGCCACCTGAAGATGTGGTGGAGAAGATGACTTTCCATGGAAATAGCGAGATGATGTTCACGAGTCCAGCAGCGCTCGAGACATGGCTCTCTACATTGTCGATCATCTCATCCTGCGAGTCAACTAGCAATGCCATGTCAAATAAAATCTGGTGGAGTTCATGCAAACTTTCTTACTTAGAATCGTCCATTTGTCGGACAGAGAGACCCAATTCTTGGCGATTCTTCCTTTCTATTGAGCTTTCATTAGGCGATTCTTCCTTTCTCATTCGATGTAGCCATGTACAATTTGATGACAAAGTCATTCCTCGACCTCCAGGATACCATGAAAGAGCAAGAGGCCGTTGCTGCTGCGGAAGAAGATGTCGTTGAAATAGAAACTTGGAACCCAGAGAAGAGTCTCTGTCCTCTTCTGAATGAGGCCTTGCTGGTGAACGAGGAAATCGACGCCATTCGCAACCTTCTCGCACTTCTCAAGGCCGCCAATAACGACAGTAAGTTGGCCCACAAACAAGATCTGAGGCTCACCCTGCGCAACCGCATCAACAGCCAAATATCGGAGATTCTCAACGCGGCCCGACACATCTGCGAGCGCCTGAGGAGTGCCTGAAAGTCATGAACCGCGCTAATGCTGAGAACCGCCGCATTTCTGGCTGCGGCGAGGGAACAGCATTCGATCAGGCCTGTATTTCCATGACCAATTGGCTACGGAAGATGCTCAAAAAGCTGATGATGGATTTCCAGTGATTGAGGCAAAGGATCATGGTGGACTATAGGAAAGAGGTGTAGTTCCGTTACTTTACTCCCGCAGGATAATTGCCACCTGAAGACGTGGTGGAGAAGATGACATTCCATGGAAACAGCGAGATGATGTTCACGAGTGCAGCAGCGCTCGAGACATGGCTCTACATTGTCGATCATCTCATCCTGCGAGTCAACTAGTAATGCCATGTCAAAGAAAATCTGGTGGAGTTCAAGCAAACTTTCTTGCTTACAGTCGTCCATTTGTCGAACAGAGTGACCCTGTTCTCTGTGATTCTTCCTTTTTGTTGAGCTTTCATTGTACGATTCTTCCTTTCTCATTCGCTGATGCCATGTACAATCTGATCACAAAGTCATTCATCGACCTCCAGGATGTCATGAAAGAGCAAGAGGCCGCTGTTGTTGCGGAAGAAGATGTCGATGAAATAGAAATATTGAACCTAGAGGAGAGTCTCCGTCCATTTCTGAATGAGGCCATGCTGGTTAACGAGGAAATCTATGCCATTGGCAACCTTCTCGCCCTTCTTAAGGTCGCCAATAACGACAGTAAGTTGGCCCACAAACAAGATCTGAGGCTCGCCCTGCGCGACCGCATCAACAGCCAAATATCGGAGATTCTCAATGCGGCCCGACGCATCCGCAAGCGCCGCCGCACCCGCAAGCGCCTGGAAGTCATGGACCGCGCTAATGCTGAGAACCGCCGCATTTCTGGCTTCGACGAGGGAACAACAGTAGATTGGGCACTTATTTCCGTGACCAATTGGCTACGGAAGATGCTCAAAAAGTTGATGATGGATTTCCAGTGATTGAGGCAAATGATCATGGTGGACTATAAAAAAGAGGTAGAGTTCCATTAATTTAGCCTCACAAGACAATTTCCACCTGAAGATGTGGTGGAGAAGATGACCTTCCATGGAAACAGCGAGATGATGTTCACGAGTCTAGAAACGCTCGAGACATGACTCTCTACATTGTCGTTCATCTCATCCTGCGAGTCAACTAGCAATGTCATGTCAAAGAAAATCTGGTGGAGTTCAACCAAAATTTCTTGCTTACACTCGTCCATTTGTAGGACGGAGAGACCCTGTTCTGTGCGATTCTTCCGTTCTGTTGAGATTTCATTGTACGATTCTTCATTTCTCATTCGTTGCTGCCATGTATAATCTGATGACAAAGTCATTCCTCGACCTCCAGGATGCCATGAAAGAGAAAGAGGCCGCTGCTATTGCGGAAGAAGATGTCGTTGAAATAGAAACTTGGAACCCAGAGGAGAGTCTCCGTCCATTTCTGAATGAGGCCCTGCTGGTGAATGAGGAAATGGACTCCATTCTCAACCTTCTCGCCCATCTTAAGGCCGCCAATAACGACAGTAAGTTGGCCCACAAACAAGATCTGAGGCTCGCCCTGCGCGACCGCATCAATAGCCAAATATCGAAGATTCTCAATACGACCCGACGCAATTGCAAGCTCCTGGAAGTCATGGACTGCGCTAATGCTGAGAACCGTTGCATTTCTAGCTACGGCGAGGGAACAACAGTCGATTGGGCCCGTATTTATGTGACCAATTGGCTATGTAAGATGCTCAAAAAGCGGATGATGGATTTTCAGTGATTGAGGCAGAAGATCATGGTGGACTATAGGAAAGAGGTGGAGTTCCATTACTTTACTCTCACAGGACAAGTGCCAACTGAAGATGTGGTGGAGAAGATGACCTTCCATGGAAACAGCGAGATGATGTTCACGAGTCCAGCAGCGCTTGAGACATGGCTCTCTATATTGTCGATCATCTCATCCTGCAAGTCAACCAACAATGTCATGTCAAAGAAAATCTGGTAGAGTTCAAGCAAACTTTCTTGCTTACAATCGTCCATTTATCGGATAGAGAGACCCTGTTCTGTGCGATTTTTCCTTTCTATTGAGCTTTCATTGTGTGATTCTTCCTTTCTCATTCGTTGCCGCCATGTAAAATCTGATGACAAAGTCATTCCTCGACCTCCAGAATGCGATGAAAGTGCAAGAGGCCGTTGTTGTTGCGGAAGAAGATGTCGTTGAAATAGAAACTTGGAACCCATAGAAAAGTCTCCGTCCATTTCTGAATGAGGCCATGCTGGTGAACGATGAAATCAGCATCATTCGTAACCTTCTCGCCCTTCTCAAGGCCGCTAATAACAATAATATGTTGGCCAACAAACAAGATCTGAGGCTTGCCTTGCGCGACCGCATCAACAACCAAATATCGAAAATTCTCAATGCGGTCCGACGTATCTGCGAGTGCCTGGAAGTCATGGACTGAGCTAATACTGAGAACCGCCGCATTTCAGGTTGCGGCGAGGAAACAACATTCGATCGAGCTCGTATTTTTGTGACCATTGGCTACGGAAGATGCTCAAAAAGCTGATGATGGATTTCCAGCGATTGAGGCAAAGGATCATGGTGGACTATAGGAAAGAGGTGGAGCTCCGTTACTTTACCCTCACAGGACAATTGCCACTTGAAGATGTGGTGGAGAAGATGACCTTCCATGAAAACAGCGAGATGATAATCACGAGTCCAGCAGTGCTCGAGACATGGCTCTCTACATTAGATCATCTCATCCTGCTAGCCAACTAGCAATGCCATGTCAAAGAAAATCTGGTGGAGCTCAAGCAAACTTTCTTACTTACAGTCATCCATTTGTCGGACAGAGAGACCCTGTTTTGTGCGATGTTTTGTGCGATTCTTCCATTCTGTTGAGCTTTCATTGTGTGATTCTTCCTTTCTCATTCGTTGTTGCCATGTACAAGCTGATGACAAAGTTATTCCTCGACCTCCAGGATGTTATGAAAGAGCAAGAGGCCGCTGCTGTTGGGGAAGAAGATGTCGTTGAAATAGAAACTTGGAACCCAGAGGAGAGTCTCCGTCCATTTCTGAATGAGGCCCTGCTGGTGAACGAGGAAATCGGCACCATTCGCAACCTTCTCGCCCTTCTCAAGGCCGCCAATAACGACAGTAAGTTGGCCCACAAACAAGATCTGAGGCTCGCCCTGTGCAACCTCATCAATAGCCAAATTTCATAGATTCTAAATATGCCCGGACGCATCCGCGAGCGCTTGGAAGTCATGGACCACGCTAATGCTGAGATCCGCTGCTTATCTGGCTGCGGCAAGGGAACAACAGTCGATCGGGCTCGTATTTTTGTGACCAATTGGCTACGGAAGATGCTCAAAAAGCTGATGATGGATTTCCAGCGATTGAGGCAAAGGATCATGGTGAATTATAGAAAAGAGGTGGATTTCCGTTACTTTACTCTCACAGGACAATTGCCACCTGAAGATGTGGTGGAGAAGATGACCTTCTATGGAAACAGCGGGATGATTGTCCACCCCTTTTTTTTAGAAGGTTAATCCATCTTAACAAAAAGTATAAACTTTGTTGTTTCTCTATATTAGATCCTTTGGTTCATAAAACCCCCAAAATCTGATTAAAAAACTCCATGGATTTTCCCAATTTACTAATATCAACAATAAGATCTGGGCTTTTTGCAGAAAAGAGATTTCCTATATTGTTTTGTTGGATCATTCTCAACTGGTTCAACTTTCATTCATCATGAATGAGCACTTTGGTTATGTGACTTTCATTTATGTTGGATGTAATAAAGCCTCTAGAATTGAATTGTGGTATACTCTTCATTCCATTAGCTTAAACATGACTGATAAATGGTTTGTGGGTGAAGATTTTAATTGCATTGCTAACTCTGCAGAGAAGATTGGGGGCAGATCTCCAAACCTATCCAAAGTCACCTCTTTGAGTGATAACATCCAGGCAGCCAACCTGTTTGATTTAGGCTCCATTTGGGGCAGTTTAAAAGTGTGGTGGCATTTTTAAAAACACCGCCTTAGTGTTTGGTTAAAGTGTTTTGTGTGTGGTTTTAAAACCCCTGTTTTGTTGTTTAGGGTAAACAGTAAACGCGAGGGTATAGGCGAGGATCATGTTTTGGCCAGGCATTTTTCTCTGCTACCCTCGCGCTGCTCTCGGTTGCCCTATTTTTCGATTGTGAGATCCTACCCTAGCTACAAAGAAGAAGGTGTATAGTGCTAAAACAACTCGTGCATCTCATCTCCTTCCTCTTTTTCTTTGTGTTTTCATGCGATTGTGGCCTGTTCTTCTTCTTCTTTGTGTTTTCAGTTGCCCTGTTCTTCGTTGGACCGATCGTTCCCTAGCTACCCGAGAAGAAGGCCTATAGTGGTAAAACAAATTTATGCACCCTCATCTCCTTCCTCCACTTCTTCTTCTTTGTCTTTTATGGGTTTCTCCTCTCCCGTTTCCTCCTACCTCGCTGTGTATTTTTTCCTGCGGACTTTATATGGGCTTTCATGGCATTCTGGTATGATACAACTATTTCTGGTGCAAGATTTCTGTTAGATCCACACGAATGAATACCATTTACATTTTTTGAAGTTCTTACAGGGTTTTGAAATTTCAGTATTTTTGTTAGCAGTTTCATTTAAATTATTTTTGTTTATTGTAAATCAAAATGAGTGGTTCTTGTATATGCAAATCAAATTTCTTTTTCATTTATCTCTCTCATTGCTGCAACAGTGATTCATCTGTAGGCAAGTTGATCTCTTTGGTGTATTGAGATGCTAATATAACTTGGAAATTGGTTTGAAAATAAAATAAAATGGAAAATTTTCATCATTCCATCTTTTAGTGCCACCATGTTATTATTTTTATAAGAGTATAAGTATAATAATTTGAGGGTTTTGATCAAATATGGTGTGGTGAAATTGTCCAAATTAGGTCACGTGATAGTTGAAGAAAATGAAATTGGGAATATTTGAGAGGTTTTGGGAGTTTTTGGGATTTTTTTTGGAATTTTTGGAATTTTTGGGCCCAAGAGTGGAATTTTGGGCCAAAGAGGGGTATTTTGGTAATTTGGCCAATTTGGGGATTTTGGGTAATTTGGGTGTTTTCAAGGTGTTTAAAATGATTTTTGAAAAAGTTTGGATATTTTGGCTAGATTTAGAGATTTTGGCCAAATTTGGGGTCCCAAGGGTATCTAGGAAGTTTGGGGAATTTTGGGCGCAAAAGGCAAGGTTGGTTATCTTGATAGAGTTGGAGTACCAACCACCATTAATAAGCCATGGGCAAGTAGAAACCCCATTTTGGGTCCTCTATGTAGTGGTCTTAGCTAAACCCTAGCCTAGGGCTAATGGGTTTAGGGAACCGCCTACGAAAGTCTCCCAAAAGTATAAAGGGACCAGAGCCTAGAAGTTTTGGGTTTCGGGTAGTGAGTGATTGTGAGTGCAAACAGGTGCCTTAGCCCTAGATCAACACCCAGGGTCAATCCTAAGGTCCAGCAGTCTTAAGGGTGACTCATCTTGAGTTTCCCCCATGGTGACCCCACCTGCTAAGTGTTAGATGTTAGAACTAATATGTGGAACTTCAAGTTGAGTAAAAAAGAGTGTAAAATTTCTAATGGTGAAGGTTCCATGTCTAGTTTTTTAAGAATAGTCAATAGAAAAGTCATATGGCTAGAACTTAGGCTACTAAAGAGGAAAAAAACTAAATCTCAACCAAAAGTGAGGTCAACAACGCACAAACCAAACAACAAGATGGCTTATCCGGATCAATTGCTCATCAACAGATTATCAGGACAAACTGTTTATCAACAGAAGTTAAATAAGCTGCAGGTGCCCCAAACAGACCCTTAAGCTTCAATGGGCCTTCTTTTACAAGGAGGAGAGGGAAAATTTAGGAAAGACTGGATAAGTTTCTAGTTAATGATTGCTGGCTTCAACAATTTATCCACACTTCTATTACCCATTTGAGCATGGTAGGCTTTGACCATAGACCTTTGTTGATTTCCATTAATGCACCCCCTCCTCACCCAACCAGTCCTCCTCCCTTCAGGTATCTTAACCTTTGGTATGAACATCTCTCCTTCACTGACTGTGTTGCTCATAACTTGGGTAAGATCTACCATGAAGATCCTTTAATTAAACTTTGGTTTTTGCACCTTAAAATAATAAAAGCTCTACGAACCTGGGGTTGGAAATCATTTAGGAATGTCTTATTGAGTGTGGAAACTGCAGAAAGGTAGGTTAAGGCCATTGAAGTAGTTGCACTCAACCAGGAGGAAGAGAACTCCCTGATTGCTGCACAGGAAAGACTGCTCACTGCCATTGACTGGCAAGAATCTTTACTTTGTTAGAAAGCGACTATTTCTAAATTTAAAGATGGAGACAAGAATACTAAGTTCTACTATGCTTACATAAAATATAAAAGGAGATGCAATACTATCCATGGTATTCAAGGTGTGGAGGGATGTCGGCACTATTTTTGGTGTGGGGTTTGC